CCTTAAAACACAATGCACAGAGCTCCATTATTAAGCATAAAACTTCCTAACATCTCATTAGATAAACTTTTCTGCAGCTTAGGGAGTTATTCTAGACAAGCATTAATACACAGACCATTGTTCTGTTTGTCCTTGCTTTTCTACTTTTTACATAACTTTTCTGCTGACCAATCTCATGGCTACTGCTCAGCTCTAATCACAGTTCTGCTGTCTCTGAGGCCTGCCTTTTGCAGCTCTCCCAAATCCCTCTGATTTTATGGATTCCCACAAGGGATGCTGTGAGAGTGAAAGGGATGGGCAGCAGCAGGGGTCTGGGCTGCATCCTGCTTCCAGGCTCGGGGACCATGGAGCTTGGGCCATGAGCAGGATGCCCTTTCCTCAGTGTCCCTCCATCAGGGATTGACTTTCTCCACCCCAAATCAAGCAGCTGCAATAATCTCTTAATCTCGGGTCTGGGAAGAGCTGGCAGGCAGGAAGGTCCCCAGCTCCTGTCGCTGATGCATAGAGGTGCCAAGCACCCCTTGGGCCTTCAGGGGAGCTCCCTGTGCCCTGCTCCATGCACTGCAAGCTGCACTCCTGTGCTTCAGCTCCTCGTGCCCGCAGGGCTTGCCAGGATCAGCTTTTTGGCAGAATTTGGTGTGGCATTGGCACGTGGGGCACAGGCAGGGCAGGCAGAGCCTGGCAGGGCCCTGTGCCAGGCCCTGGCTGGGCAGGGGGAGGGGGCTGAGCCCCCATCAATAATTCAGCTCCATATTTATAGAGGGAAATGCGTTGAATAATGGATGGTGGGTGAGGGGGGCCCTTGGGAAGCCGGCCTTGCTGCCACTGCAATATTTATCAGCCCAGTTTGCCGGGTGCTGCCTGAGGCTCCACTACGGCTGGCACAGGCTCACTGCTGAGGGCTTGGCTGGCACAGTGGGCACAGGCAGCTCTGCTCCTCTGCCTGCTGCCCTCTGCAAAATTGCACTGAGGGACGGAGCCCCACTGCTCTGGAGCCAGGCTGGGAGAGCTGGGGGTGCTCACCTGGAGAGGAGAAGCTCCAGGGACACCTCAGAGCACCTGCCAGGGCCTAAATATTGGCCTGGATATTGGGAAGGAATTGTTCCCTGTGAGGGTGGGCAGGCCCTGGCACAGGGTGCCCAGAGGAGCTGTGGCTGCCCCTGGATCCCTGGCAGTGCCCAAGGCCAGGCTGGAGCAGCCTGAGACAGTGGAAGGTGTCCCTGCCCATGGCATGGATGTGGAATGAGGTGGATTTTGAGGTCCCTTCCAACCCAAATCAGCCTGTGGATCCTTTTCTGTCTGCCACTAGCCATGCTTGTTTCTAGGCTCAGAGAGGGATGTGAATACCCAGGGACAAATCCCCATCTGTCCCTCATCACAGGGGGCACCAGGGCCATGCAGCTTCTGGGAGGACCCTTCTTGGTGTCCCAGACAGGTCCCCTCTGTGGCTGTGCCCACCTGGTCCCATGTGCCACCCTGCTCAGGGCCCCCAGGATCTCCCCCCTCCCTGATGCCACCACCCCCCCACAGACCCAGAGCCCCTGACCCCACACCCTGTGTTACAGAGACACCCGTGGAAGATGTCGAACCCGAGAAACGGCGACACCAAGCCCCCATGTTTGCCCCGCAATGGACTGGTGAAGATCCCCACGCAAGCCAACGGCCTCNGATGATGATGATGATGATGATGATGATGATGATGGTGTCTTTGGCCCAGTCACGCAATCTGCAAACACTGAGATAACAGGGAGAAGGGAAAGGGACAAATCTTTGCTCTCCTGTTGCTTTGGAGTGGCCAAAAAGCATTTGGAGGTGTTCATGGAACTGCTGGAACATCTGGGAGGGTCTGTGCTGACACCTCCAAGGCAGACAGCTTTGGGTTTGTCTGTCCATCCGTGTCTCTGGGCTGGGAGTGCCCGGGGAGGTGCAGGGTGGGCTCTGTGACCCCCAGGGGCTGTGGCAGTGTCACTTTGGACATCAGAGCAGTGTGGGCTCAGCCCTGGGCTGCAGGAGCAGGGGGGCTCCTGGCTGTAGGCCAGGGGTCTCCCATGGCACAGGAGGGCAGATGCCAACCCTGCCCTTGGTGCCAGAGACAGCAGCTATTGGCCCCCTCCCCTTCCAGCCCACGCTCTCCTCACTGGGGTCTTTCCCCAAGCACAGTTCAGTGCCTGGGGGTGCTGGGAGCACCCAAATTCTTCCCTGCTCATGTCCCCAGAGAGAAATGCTTGCCTGGCTTCCCTCACTGCTGCCCAGATCCTCCTGTGCCCAGAGGCTCGAATCTCTCTCCGTTTTTCTCTTTGAAGTGACTTCAGGCTCACTCAAGGTTCGAGATTTCTGTGCTCTGTTCAGGCAGCCTGAGCTCCTTGGGCAGGGGGCCTGGCTCAGCTTTCCAGGGAACCCCTGAGACCCTCCGAACCCCCTGAGCCCCCCTGAGTCCCCCTGAGCCCCCTGAGCCCCTCCTGAGCTCAGCCTCGAGGACCAGCCGAGCTCTGAGCAGTTTTTGGATGCTGTGCCAAACCCTCCTGCTGGCTGCTGTGAGTCCAGCGACTTGTCAGCATCTGTGTCCTGCTGTGACCATCCCCTCAGGCTGCCGAGGCCCTGCGCTGCCCCTCTGCCACCACCTGCCCTGTCCCCGTGCCCAGCGGCTCTGGGGCTCCGTGCCACCACCTGGTGTTGGAGTGACAGGGGGTGGCACGGTTGGGACAGATGGAAATGAGAGATCTCTGCAGCCAGGTCAGGAACTTGGGGTTCATTGCAAAGGGCCTGGGGGCAGGGCCCTGCTGGGAGCTGCAGCCACAGCTCAGAGCAGGCTGAGAGAAGAGAGGGAGAGAGAGGGTGGGAGGGTAAGAGAGCAAAAGGGGTAAGAGAGCGAGGTTCCTGCTATAATACAATAAATCTTCTTCTGTGTTGAATATTCTAATTCTCACTGACCAATCTAACACAATATACAAATCCTACAACATTTACCTTCAGCCTATAAGAATCATTACATTACCATACTTTGCTACATTTTAAACCCTAAAAACTCCTCTTTGGGCCCCTTCTGCCAGGCTGTAGGGTCTGCTCTGACCCTTGGAGCTGTCTGCAAGCAGAGGGTGTTTCATCAAAAGGAGATCACCTTCACCCAGCCACACCATTGTTTTGCAGTGGTTCAATAACTGAGGTATCTCAAAGCTTGCTTTCATTTCAATCTTGCTTGTAGTTTCTATTTTCTCAAAATCTTTTGCCAATCATATTTATAAGTCTTTCCTGTTTCATCTTCCCCGACACCCAGGGCTGGCCAGTGTGCCCAGCGCCTCTGGGGCTCGGTGCCACTCTCTGCAGTGACACTTCCCGTGCCACCTGGCCATTGTCTGTTTGGGTTGGTGNGCACAGCTCAGCAGGACCAGCTCCTCCCTGCTGGAGGGGTGATCCATGCCCAGCTCTTGGACAGGGCAAGCAGGAGGCCAGGAGCAGGATCAGGCAGGTGCCTGATGGCTTTTGGAGCCCGTGCTGGCATTTAGCACCCAGAGCCCACCAAGGAGTGCCATGGCTGGACACTGCCTGCCCTGGTGTCCCACTAGCCTCGTGCCAAGGGCCCCTGCTTGACCCCAAGGCCAGGGACAAAGGGCCGTCAGTGCCATCACTGCCATCAGTGCCATCAGTGCCATCACTGCCATCACTGCTATCAGTGCTTGTGTGGCTGTCACCGTGCCTGGGCCGTGAAGGGTTTGGGCAGGCACAAACCCCAGCAGGACCTGAGGAGCTCATCCACATCCTGTGCTTGGACACAGCTCTCCTGGCTCCTCAGGGGATTGTGCATTTCAGCCCTTGCTGGGCAGAGGAAGGGCTGGGACATGCTGGGAGCTGTCACTGGGCTCTGGCTGGGGCTGTAGTGAGAGGAGGCCAGGCTGGGCAGGACCCAGCACACGAGGAGCTGCTCCCTCTTCTCCTTGCCTCAGACAGAGGGTAGCAGGGAGAAGCTTGGCTTAAGCACAAACACCCTTCCATGGTGTGAGAGTGTGAGAGTGAAGATCTCCAGAGGAGGCTGGAGGGGAAGGGAGCAGGGCCCTAGCTCTGCCCTCAGTCTGTCCCTCCCGTGCTCCTTTTGGGTGGGGGATTCCTCCCAAGGGGACAAGGGGCTGCCTGGGGAAAGGAGAGGTCAGGATTTGCTGTCTCTGGGAGAAAGGGGTTCAGCAGAGAGGCTGAAAGCTGCTGCAGGAAGGGCTTGGTGGTCAGAGGGAGCCCTGTTGGGGGGAAGTTTTGCTTGGGCAGGCTTGGGGCTGGAGCTCTGCCTCCCCCCCACGCTGAGGGCTGGAGACAGGAGCTGCATCTCCCAGTGCCCCCAGATAGGAGCTGCATCCCCCAGTGCCCCCAGACAGGAGCTGCATCTCCCCAAAACAGTGGGACCTGAGCAGAGCTTGGTGCTGGCACCTCAACCAGCTTTTCCCAGCTCCCTGGGGATGGGGCTGACCCTGCAAATCCCGAGCCTGACCTTTAGGCAGGCTGTGGGACCTGAGAGGTTGCTGTGCTGGGGGTTCCTGCTGTGACAGCTCCTCTCCTTGGCCATGGGCTGCAAGAGGCAGCGATGGATTCACAAGCCTGGCTGGCACTGAGAGCAGCAGCCCCAGCAGTGGGACTCAAACCAGTCATGTCCCAGCCCNCCGAGCTCAACCTGCAAGCCTACCACGTGACGGACACGGCCCTCGCCTACTTCACCGCCAAGCAGGGCTACACCACCCACACCCTGCGCCTCAACTCCTGCTGGGAGATCACCAACCACGGCGTGGTCAACATGGTGCACAGCCTGCCCAACCTGAGCGTGCTCAGCCTCTCGGGCTGCTCCAAGGTGACGGATGATGGAGTGGAGCTGGTGGCCGAGAACCTGCGGAAGCTGCGCAGCCTCGACCTGTCCTGGTGCCCCCGCATCACCGACATGGCCCTGGAGTACATCGCCTGCGACCTGCACAAGCTGGAGGAGCTGGTGCTCGACAGGTAAAGGGCTGTGCTGAGCCGTGCTGTGCCGTGCCAAGCCATGCCATGCTGTGCTATGCCAAGCCATGCCAAGTCATGCCATACCGTGCTGAGCCATGCCATGCCATGCCATGCCATGCCATGCACGCCATGCCATGCCATGTTGAGCTGTGCTGTGCCATGTCACCCCATGACAAACCATGCCGTGCCAAGCTGTGCCATGCTGAGCCGCGCTGTAGCAGAGGGTGCAGCATGGGGGCCATGGTTTGGGGACACCCACGGGTGACCAGCTGGCCCTAACACCCCGTGTCCCGGCAGGTGCGTGCGGATCACCGACACCGGCCTCAGCTACCTGTCCACCATGTCATCCCTGCGGAGCCTCTACCTGCGCTGGTGCTGCCAGGTAGGTGTGGAACACGGCTGTGCCAGTCCCGGCTCAGCACGGCAGAGAGGGCATGGTGGCACCTCCCTGGGCATGGGCCATGAGCTCGGGGTGGGCTCCTGGGGCTGGCTGAAGACCCCAAGACTTGGTGCCAGGGAGCAGAGAGCTCCTGTGAGCTCAGCAGGACTCAGCCCTGGCACCCTGACCCTGCATCCCCAGAGCCCGTACCCGCTCCCTGCCCTGGCTCCCTGCTCCCTGTCGCACAGCCCAGAGCCAGCCCCCCAGCCCTGCACCCCAAATCCTGCCCCAGCATCCCGCTGCAACATCCCACATCCTGCTCAGGCTCCCCTCCCTGCAGCCTGTCCCATCACAGTTCCCTGCCCTGGCACCCAGAGCCAGCACACTGCCCCAGCATCCTGCACCCTGCTTCAGGTTCCCAGCCCTGGCACCAGCTCCCTGCCCCAGCTGGGCAATGCTGAGCCCTGGCACTGTGGTTGTCCCCATTGTCCCTCCCTCATCCCCATCTCATCTTCTTTTCCAGGTGCAGGATTTTGGCCTGAAGCACCTCCTGGGCATGGGCAGCCTGCGCCTGCTCTCGCTGGCTGGTGAGACCCTGACCCCCTATGAGGGACCAGAGACCCCAGGGGCTGGGGGGCACCGGGCATGGGGACAGAGAGAGCCCTGGGGACAGCCTGGGGACAGCCTGGGGACAGCCAGCCTCCCCCCAGGCCAGCAGGCACCTGCACCCAGCCCAGCCTGTGGGGAAAGATCCACACTGGGCTCTTGGGGTGCAGTGTTTTTTGGGGTGGTGTTGTTTAGGAGCTGTTTTTTGCCATTTAAGTGTTCTGAGGTGTTGTTTTTTGAGGAGCTGCTGTAGGGGACACACTTTTTTGGGTGGTTTGGTTTTTTTTCTTTAGAATACAGGTGCTTTGAGATGCTGGGATTTTAGGCTGACCTTGGGGTACAGGTGTTTTGAAGCATTATTCTTTAGCATGCCGGTTTTTTGGGTTCTGTTGGGGATTTTTTGGGTGCTAATTTTGATGGTCTTGGTATTTTGGGGTGCTGGTGCTTTAAGGTATTGGTTTTTGTGTGCATTTTGGAGTGCTGGATTTTTTGGACGCTGATATTTTGTAGTGTTAGGCTTTTTGGGGTACTTTTTTTTAGCACGCTGGTTTTTTGGATTCTGCCTTTTGGGTGTGGTGAGGTTTGAGGTGCTGGGATTTTGAGGTCCAGACCCTTTGGTTCTGTTTGGGGGAATTTTGGTGCTCTGGGATGCTGGTGCCTTTGAGATGCTATTTTTGGGGTTGGTATTTTTGGGGGACACTGGTGATCTGGGCTGACAGTGCACCCTGTCCCCTTGCAGGCTGCCCCTTGCTGACCACCACGGGGCTGTCGGGGCTGGTGCAGCTGCAGGAGCTGGAGGAGCTGGAACTCACCAACTGCCCCGGGGCCACCCCGGAGCTCTTCAAGTACTTCTCCCAGCACCTGCCGTGCTGCATGGTGATCGAGTAGCGCCGGANCCCCCCCCTCCCCAGCATGGCCGGGCAGCAGCGGGTGGGGAAGGCAGGGAAAGGGGGATCGGGGCATCCCGAGGGAGGCAGGGCTGCTCTGGGATGGGGGTGGAAGGGCACATCGCTGTAGGGACACGGATGTCCCAGTGTGGGGGTGATGTTTGCCCCCTTCCATCTCTGCTGCCAGCCTCTAAAATGCCTCTAAAATTCTGGGATGGGGGTGGAAGGGCAATCGCTGTAGGGACATGGATGTCCCAGTGTGGGGTTGATGTTTGCCCCCTTACAGCCTCTAAAATTCCTCTTGTCCTCCCTGGTGGCACCATTGGCATCCCCAAGGCTGCACTCGAGCAGCCAAACACCCCAAAAGCTCAATGGTGGCTTTCTGGGGATGCAGGGTGACCCCAGCCAAGGGATGGGGGACAGGGGCAGCCCCCCCCATTTCCCAGAGCCCAGGGGGATGGAGGAAGGGGAAGGCCCTGGCTGGGATGGGGCTGAGCGGGGTCCTGCAGACCCCAGCATGGATCCATGGATCTCCCATCAGCCCAGGATGGGAACATGGAGTTTGTTTTGGTGGGGAGGATGAGGAGGGGCAGGGGGATCAGCGTATGGGGCTGGGGACCAGGCAGACTCCACCCCATGGAATGGCCTGGGCTGAGCACAGCTGGGGAAACTGAGGCACGGGGTTCTGGCAGCAAGCAGCTGGATACTCCCAAGGTCTTGGCCATGTGGGGCTCCAGGGGTGCCATGGGGCACAGGGCTGAGGTGGTGCCCCTCTGGCATCTCCTGGTGCCCCTGGGACATGGCAGTGCCTGGCACGGAAGGCCAGAGCATAGTGGCAGAGCCTCTCCATGCCCACCCTGTGCCCAGGGTCTGGGGTCTCACAGCACCCCGGGGTGCTCAGCAGGCTGGAGCAGCGGGCACAGAGCGAGCCCCGTGCCGTGCTGGCAGCTCCCCTCCTCTGAAGCTGGTGCTGATTTCACTCTGGCTACCAGGAAGAGGGAGGGAGGTGGCTTTGGAGTGGGGAGGACTCGCTCAAGCATCCATTTTTAATGAGCTAGATATCTATTTTTCCCCGAGCTGGCTTCCCCCACATCGATCCCTTTGCCTGCTCCCCTCCTGTGCCAGCAGCTCCAGGGCACAGGGGAGCAGCAGGACGGGCACCCCTGGCACTGGGACCCTCCTGCCACCCCAAATCTGCTCCTGGGGAATGGGTAACCCTCACTGGGGCCAGGGTAAGGAGGGTGGGGAAAGGGTTCCCTTGTCCCCTCAGTGGGGTCACAGCCATGGTGACCATCATGTGGGGACATGGCCAGACAGAAGGACAACAGGAGTGGGAGCACTTGGAGTTTGGAGTTTGGAGTTTGGAGGTTGGAGGTTGGATGCTGCCCCTCTGCTCTGCAGATTGAAGCCGTGCCTGGCTCAGCAGCTCCATGGCAAAGCCACATGGTCCTGCCTGGAGCTGTGTCCCCATCTCCCATCTCCTGCAGCTGCCAGCAGTGCCTGAGCAGGAGCTGCACCCCCAGAGGG